ATGGGCAGCTGAGACGTGGTATGGCTGCAAATCTCATGTAAAGGATTGAGAAAACAACGGTAAATGATGACTAACCAACAAAGCAAACTTTTCATCTTCTTTTCCAAGGTTTAAAGAAGTGATAATGGAGTACTGAAAATGCATCATAAAATGAAAAAGAAAATAAATAAAAATGGCAGAAAGAAAACAGAAAGCAAAACTGAAAAAAAATATCATCAAAAGATTCTCAAGCTTCCTATTAACTTTTCAGTTATCAGTAATGGAATCAGACAATAGTAAGACCTTCATTCATATGCTGTCACAGAGATGAATTCTTCTACTGACTAAATCCATGTGTGAGATAATAAAAAAACAAATAGGAAACTCAGTATTATGATGGCAAGTGTACAGCAAAACCAAATCAAACCTTCCAATACCTTTCTCCCTGAAATCAGAAGTTAGGCTGTGAAGATATCTGTTGCAGGAAAACAAGCAAAACATAAGAACAAAGACAGAACATTAATACCTGCAAAACTCAAGCACAAAGCAAAATAAACATTACAAAGATTCATGTCTAAAAAAATGACATTATTCACATCTTAACCTCTGTCTTCTTTAAATCAAACTTTCTGTATAAAACATATATCACAACACAAATGGAAAACACAAATAAAGGACTACATCAAAACACTAAGAAATACATAATGCAATACAATTTTTTACATAGAAAGATAATGTCTACTATTTAAAAGAAATTTAATACAAATGAGTTGGCAGATACCAAAAGATTTTAGTTCCAGATAGTGCATAAATACCCTAAACATTTCTAAACATTAAAGAAAAGATGAAAAGAAAGGGGCATCATAGCATTTTGATATACTAAAAAATGCATAAATATAAGCTACATCCATGCAACCATCATATTTTGTCTAGCAGTCTCTTTATCTTTACATAATTTAGAAAATCAGCATCTGGAAATTAAAACCTCTTGCAACAAATTGATACTGCAGCAACAAAGTCTGATGGCATTGCTAACAAAGAAGATGAGCAGAGTTACTTTGAGTTACTTTGGGAATCTGTCAACTCAAGGTATTTGAAGAACATTACAATTTTGATGGATGAAAGAGGGCCCTCCACCAATGTTTGCTCTAAAGAAGAAAAAATACACACTTTATTAATGAAGACTGTCACCACACCACCACATCAAATGACCAACCCTCTGCATGGGTTAACTCTGGTTTAACTTAATCCCAATGAAACTGGAAAAAGGGAGAATAGCTGATGCACATAGGGGTGTGATGAGGATGCAGAGAGTAGTCGATAATAGTAAGTCCAAAAAACCACAGAGCTGAGTATACAGCAGAGATTTCTGTTAGGCACTTGAAAGGTTTTCTTGTGTGAAGAAATGCACCTTGTTCTACTGGTACAGTAACATATGATTTTAAAACCAAACTTCATTATCACTGTAAATAAATAATATAAAACAGTCATTGATGATGCATAATGCAATATTACAAAACCTTCCAACTACCAAACTTGAAACAACACTTGGAAAGAATAGGAACAAGACCAAAAACTGTATGAAAGGGTGTTAGGGGTGGACTCCAGTACGGGACTCGGTCTCAATTACCACAGCACTTGTGTACGCAGTTGTATATTGGTCAGAAAGGTTTCCTTTCAGGGGGTGAGCAGGGGAGAGTAAGCTTGTATACGACTCCTGAAAGAACATCATATTAAGCAATCACATTGCAAAAATATAAGAGTAATAGAAAAGAATCATTATCACTCAGTGAAAAGAAAAATCTTTATAACAACAATCTGACTGAAAAGAAATCCTTTTTCAGCCAGATTTACCAGAAGATATTTGACTAAATTTTAAACCACATACAAAGAAATACAGCCAATCTGTTCTATAATAGATATCACTCTTTATACTGAAAGATATCACATGTATAATTTGCACACACATATGGATGCACGGAAACATACACACAAACACACACTCACACTCACAAATACGCATGCATGCATGCACACACGCACATACACATGCACTCACTAACTCACACTCACACATACTCATAAATACGCATGCATGCATCCATGCACACATGCACACACACATGCACTGACTCACATACACACACACACACACACACACACACACACACACACACACACACACACACACACACACACACATGCACTGACTCACATACACACACACACACACACACACACACACACACACACACACACACACACACACACATACACACACATACACATGCACTCACACACGTGCACACACACACACACACACACACACACACACACACACACACACACACACACACACACACACACACTGCTTACAGTCAGAATCAAAATACTATAATAATATTTTATATTTACTTAAATACCACCTGAAAAACAACAACATAAAGAAGCACTATGTAAAACCTTCACTCTATTTTTAACATATCACCTGTGCTTGTACACTAATATAAAGAAGAGAAAAAGTATTAAACATGGAAAACATTATCCGCCTGCCTTCTAAGAACTCTTCACTCTGTCTGAAAAGCTGTGCAAATCAATTCTAAAAAAAAGAGTTTTAGTTATTGAATTTTTTGCAGAAGGCCATATGAAGTACAATCTAATAGACAGTTCATCATTTCTTTATCATTAATGGATATCTGAAACTGAATCTTTCAAAAATAGATTTATTTACTGATTACATGTAACTGATTTTCCTTTTTTTTCATAATACAGTTACAAAAAGTGCATACTGCACTGATTTGAAAAAAAAAAATCAATCTAGAATCTACAAAATATTAGAACAATTAGATATGTCTGGTCTATTCTATTTAGTTGATGTCCACGCCAAATGTGTTATTGTCACCTGATTTTATTTAGCTTTCGGAGCATTTGCCCTAGATATATCATACTGATTCTTTACTTGCTCTTGTAGATCATCTTAAATTCAACTTAGTCTTTTGTGTTTTTACTTTGTGTTCTAAGTATTTCAAGTATGCCATTATAAAGTGCAAAGCTTAAGTAGCTTAATTATGACCAAAAGGATTTTTTTGTCAAAAATGTGGTTTGCTACTGTGGAGAATGCAACAATTTAGCAGCAAAATGAACCCAAAGAGAATATTCTATAACAACAATTACTTTATAATAACTACTGTAAGGACTAGGGTGAAAGTTAAAAATTCTGATCAATAATCCAAAAGTGCAAGTGAATTTGCTACAAAAGTTCTAGGTTCTCCAAATTGTCACATGGGAGGTCTTCAACAACAAAGAAGCAGAGAATTTTTTATTTCTGTCCACAAAATGTTAATGATAAATGAGTGAAACGGCTAAAAGTGGAACAAAGTATGATGACTCGTATTACTACATTAAGAAACAAACAAAAAAAGATCCAGACTGGAACCAGACTTCATATAACCTTACCATGATAAACCAGGCATCTATACATTACTCTAAAAATATTGATACTCTGTTACTTTCCTCAAAGATTGTGTCTAATATGAGAAAATTCTTCTCAGCAACAATAATAGTTGCTGCACCCAAAAATAAACACTAACATGCCCTGTCATTATATATATCAATAGACATATATACATGAACACATTAAAATTTTAAACAAAATATCCATAACTCCAAGACATTTCACTATACAGAAAGTAAAACAATTAAATTGATAACATAAACTTACTTGTATTTTTGTTCGGACACTACTTCTTGTAGTGATAACCGAGTACTGCCCTCCTGTAGAGCAAGCCATCTGTTTTAACACTGCTGTAGGGATGGGATGAGGACCCACAGCATATGTAAATACTCGCACATCCTTTGTATCTTCTTCTGCTTTGTATCTGATGAAGAAGGATGGGGTTAATTATACTTTAATTTAATCATTTCTCAATGCTTTATGAATAGAATCTTTTAGTATTAATAATAATGAGTAAGAGAATGAGTGACACTACATAATCATGGACTTGAAATATTTGTGCCATAAATATTAGCATCCATATTCTATAAGTTTTTCTTAACTTTATTTATAGCCTAGCTCTGTCTTTAACCATTGAATAGCACCAATCAGTATTTCCTATGCAAATAGTTTTTCAGCAATCACTAACTTCTTAAAGATCTCTTCCGGCCATTCAGTTCCCCCGTCACTGAAGAGCATGATTGTTTTGTGGCACTGAGCCCCTTCTCCTCTTGCCTTGGTTTGTGAATACTGAAATGTAATGGAAAAAAGGTTAATACCATATACATGCACCCCTATACTATGTAAACATTCACCAAGCAAATATTTACTTTAATGAAGACATGTTTCATTGCCAATCACTCATCTAACGCAATGCAAAATTTGTATTTGCAATTTTTCCTTTTTTCTTTTAATCTACAATCACAAAACAAGCCTGATTCCATTGGTAAGCTCCACATTTACATAGATGTAGTCGTTAATTAAGGCTAACAATTCATAATGTACATGGACATTTATCCACACACAGCAGAAAAAGGGTTGATACAGATTTACAGTAAAAAAAATTCTTATTCATAAAACAAAAGATATAAACATGAAGTACATATTTACCTCTTTGAAGGCATTGAGTGCAAATTCCAGTGCATTTGAGTAGCTCGCTATGCCACCATCTTCAAGCTCGTCAATTGCCCTAAATAATAGTTTCTTGTTGCTAGTGCTTGCTTGGACTAAGTTTTGATGACAGGCCTCATTCTCCTCTTCTGTTCCATTTGCCTGAAAAAATTAAAGCTCCTTTAACGTTCAATATTTGTGAGATACCAATGACTATCATGTAATAAATGTTTATAGTATGCATCTATCAAGAGTAAAAAAAAAATAATAATAATAATAATCTATAACATTTAAAACAGTAGTTTCCTTGGTTAAGTCATTAAATAACTTACCTTGCAATATGTACAGTTATTCACCCACTCAGTTGTGTCATTGAACTGTAAATCAAGAACATAACTATAAGTCATGCATAAATATG